AAATATTTTGGCCACTTAAAAAATTCTGGTCAATACTCTGGCCATTAAGAAAATAGTGGCCATTATAATGGCCAGAAGTGACTTTTTAAAGGGGTCTGAGGGGTGTAAAAACAGTGTTAAAGTGAAATGAAGAATTATTATAACCTTCTCACTAACCTAAAAGCACAAATAAATATTCAAAAGTTTTGAAAATTAAAACTTTCCGAAACGCGACGGAATTTCCGAAAGTAATCCGGACGCTGTTACTAGATTATTTGTTGGGAACAAATTCAGAGTTGTACCCTATGGATCGCCAAAGTTTTGTGTCATTTGCATGATTAAATATGTATAACTTCAAAATTTTTAATCAAGGTAGATAATTGGAATTTATGTCCATTTGTACCTAAAATACAACAAAAAAAAAAAGACATGCACAATATCTTGCTCTTTCTTGGTGCTATTATGGCATTCATCATATTAATAGACTGTAACCTCTAACTAATAATCACCTGTCAAAATCTTTTCTTTCAAACTAAAGGACACCTCGCCAACTCACCGAGTACACGTACACAACCTCCAACACATACAGAAGACGAGTGACTTCAACACTTACAAGAAAAGTTACATGACAAGAGTTCTACCAGTCATCACAGGTAATGAGATAATTCCTTTGTTTTTATACATCTGATAACAACATGATCTAGCTAATATGACCTGTGAGGGTGCTATGTGCCCATTATTTAAGCACAGACCACTTTTCCTTTATGGAGTGGGTTGCAAGAAACAAGTCTGCTTTAGTTGCCATGGCAAATAAAAAAAAATGACAGTCTGCTGGTAATCGGTAAAAAGGAATCTTCCAATAAGCACAACATCGCATCAGGCAAGTTTACGTTGCACCCCAAATTCGGTTTACATGCACATGCAAAACGTTGTATCTTCAACTTGCAAGAAAGTGGTCTATTAAAGGCTACTACCTGTGATTTCATTTATTTAAAACTATTGTATGAAATGAACTATCAGTCATAAATTCAGACGACTTTCGGGGGTTTAGTTCCATGATAATAACAATAATACTGAAAAATACTTTTCATTTTCACTGAATCATTCCTTTAGCGAAAATTAATTCCAGCTAAAATTAAATATTCACAGTACTATAAAATTCTAATTACTAACCGTGGTTCCTGTTACAATGCTGTAACTTTGATATCTCATTTTTGTTTCACACATAGACTGTGACGGTTTCTATCAAGACATGGATCAACAATCTGATTTGTTTGGGAGTCAAACTCAACTTGCATTGGATATACAGGTCAGTGTTTTCGCAATCATACCTATATTGAGTGTTACTCAGTCGTGTCAATTGCAAAAATGCATATAAAACTATTAAGGAATAAAATTAAAGATTTCAGATCATAAGGAGTGTATTTTAAACGTCAAACCCAAGTTCAAATGCAGCTTACACATTGTCATGCATAAGTCAGTCTCCGAAGGAGGACATTGTATTATGGTACATTTTGTATATATCCATTAAAAATATCAAAAGTCTACATAGGTTTGTATTTGTGATGAAGATGTCACAGCATTATCCATTTGCATTATTTGTAGAAATGTACATTTGTCTGTCAATTCTTCATCACGTATATTAAACTAATATTACTACAGTGGATATTATCTTGCATGTCAATATACATACCGTATATTAAAAAAAGATTTATGAAAACTTTGATCTTCGTAGAAATTGAAAGGCGCTAAAACCAAGCTGGATGAAATCGTAAGAGAAGTGCATCATCAGCGTTCGTGGGAACGGATTGGAGACGTAGTTGAACCCGCAGATGACTTGTGTACAATCCTGAATCAAGTAAAGAAACTTATAAAGGAGATTAGACAAGAGGAAGACAGTAAATTCAGTCTGGCCACTGGAGGTCAGTCTATTTTGAGATTGAGGTGGAGGGAAAAGTTCAAAGGTCACATATAATGTAGATTGAAAATATTCAATCTGATTTATGTTGTTTCCACTGACTGCTGTATTATATTATTTATAAAAGTAAAATTCCTTATGTATAAATATTATATGCACGTATCCCAAAGAACTCAGATCTGCAAACTAGTCGATGTATGTATGACTTTTATGAATAAATTACTGAAACTCTTCGAAATCTTCTCACTCCGTAGGTGCTGGCCTTGTTGCTGCTGATGGGGGTGGGATTGATGAAGAGGACGTTGTCTTGGCAACAGCAGGCGAAGATGAACAAGACCTGCCTGGTCATTTATTAAAAGTCAGTGAACAGTTTAAGAAGAAGCAACCTAAACAAAAAGGCGGCAGAGCGAAAGGCAAACGCAGAAAGAAATAAAACACTCAATATTTTTAGTATAAAATGTAGCATGATTGGTTTACTGAATAAATATTTTCCAGCTATTACCATGCTATTAGCATAAATATACATTGGGTTACATGACATATATCATGTTTACTCATTTGAGAAAGGTATTTGGCACTGAATTGCATAAATTAAAACTAATGACAAAATCGCAGCTTTTGCTTTTTAAAATACTAATGTTTGGAATAATTTGTCTTTCAATTCAGTTGTTGCAATATTACATTTTATTCATGTGATAAAAAAATAGTTCTTTGTTTATGTTTTTAAAGTTTTAATGAATGCCTTTAATTTTGAGCTAATCATTGCCAAAAATGTTTTTAAATTTATCATTAAAATTATCTTACAAATGAATATTTACTGTATTTTATGTTTGCTCCAACATAACTTGAGAAATGGTGTTGGGCTGTATTAATGTTTTTATATTGTTTTGTTTAATTGTTAGGGATCAAAATAACCCTCCCACATTATCCGTTTTCAAATACCAAGTGAATATCAATGTTTACTAAATATATATAGTGAAGTCTATTTTTCTGAAAAATTTTCTCAATATTTGATTGTAAAATAATATATTTTTATTAACAATTTAAAATTGTAATCTTCCTATTGGAACAAGCAAATGTCATCACAAGATGTAAAATTGTTACCAGAATCTTGTATTTGTTTATTTTAAATTTTTTTAAATGCTTTGTTTTGATTGGCTTTTAACCTAAAATGTTATTTTTATTCCAGTTTTATTGATTGTAATTGTTATACAATTTTGTGTCAAAATTACGTAGATGGGTAAAACCCTCATCACTCGTGTTGATGTGTAGACATGTGTCATTTAGAATATATTTTGACAATCATGTCGCTTGCTGACATTGTTATATATCAGTCATCGCTGGGAACTTTAATTTTTTAATGGACACGTACAGAAAATAAACAGCTTTTCTTTTTACTCTAGAAATTTTATTGTAGAAATTGTGACAGATATGGGGTTTTACATTCACTACGAGATCTATCAATATATGTGAAAGACATGGTCAAATGTCTCCCACAACAATTGAATGATTTGAATTTAGATTTCTTATTTCTAAAGCTCAAATGTGTATTGAATCACACACGAGTGTTTTGATGTCACTATGATGTCATAACCTTTGTATGTCCTGTTTTCATTCATAACGCAGAATCTTGTAGTAAACAGAAAATGGTCTGTTGGGAATGTGTTCTGGGCAATAAATGCGAGTGTTCGCAGCTATTATCGGCGCTGACGCTGAATCTGCAAATACACAAAATCAGAAACCATAATAATGCTATATTAAGTTTTATGCTGTGTTTTTGATGAATCGTCGCCAATGTTGCCTTAATACACACATTTCCTTATAAAAATTATTAAAAGAATTTAATATTATATATCTCGCCATGCTCCAGTGATATTATAGCTATGCAATAAATAAATAAAATAATTACTATATATGGATATTAAAGTTATATTTTTTATAATTGTATAAAATTTACAAATTAAATATTCAATAGATAAGTAGTATATTTAACCAGAATTTAACAATGTGTAATCATTCATTGTGTATCTCTCATTCTTTTGAATGCCATAGTATTCTCGCAAAATTCGCACTTTTTTTTCAGGATTTTTCTAATTTTGGAACTAATGGACTACTATTTGCCATTTACTGGTATTTCACTATTTTGTCATTTTATCAACTTCTCTGGGTTCTTCTAATTCACAGATTTCCCTACCACATGTAATTTCACATACTGTAAAATCTGTATTAGAAGCCGTGGTAAAATGGTACAATGCAACAGAGGGGATGCGGCTTCTATTAGAGCATCTACACATATGAGAAATGATGAATTTTTGGTTCTCAATTATTCAAATAGAATTGGTGCGACTTCTATTAGGGGTGCGGCTTCTAATACAGATTTTACGGTATTAAGTGAATATTTTATTTAAAATAGTGAAATTCAAAACCCAGTGAATTAGTTATCCCATAGAGTGCCAAAGTAAATTGTTGTCACCATGCATTTTCAAATATTTTGATTAAGACTGTGAACCAATGTAAAATTATGTCTATTTAGCCCAAAATTAAAAAATTCTTGAAAAATCAAACAAAAATTGCAAAATGTTGCATCAGAATTATGGTGAGGAAGCTGTAGCATTCAAAGAGTTGACATTGGTTTGACAGTGAATTCAATCAAATGCTTATTTGTAAATTCTATTCTATGAGATGAATAAAATTCAACAGTGCCTTCAGTCTGCTGAGTTGTTTCTATTAATTCAGGGAGGGTCATATATTGTCACAGAAGCTCAGTAAATTTAAATTGTTTGGGGGGAGCTTTCAGGGCAGGACACACGTTGACCTCCCCCTTATTTTGGGGGGAGCTGTTTTTATGACCTAAATTTCAAATTCACACTTGTCATTGTTTTTTTTAAATATTTTTGTGACAGTTTTGGACATTGAATGTCACCGTTGTCTCTCCTGACTTTTTTTTTTGTATGTGCAAATTGCAAGTGCTAGTGCTGACACATAGTGCATTTTGCCGCAGAAGTCATAATCATGTTTGGTACTACATGACAGGGCTGTGTGGCCATCTCTCTGTCAAATGGCAATTTTCATGCGCTATCCTGGCGTCAACCAGGCTCAGTCGAACACAAGCACCTGCGGACCTTAACAAAGGTTCCCCCAAAGTGGCATTCGTTAGTGAATGAATCTCGGCCAGTGG